GCTCTACAGACATTCACCCTGGAGTCGACACCAACAGCCACCTCCCTGTGTTATGCTGGTGGGTTGGGTTTATTGTGTATTGTTTAATTCCTACTACTGTGTGGTACCAATATGTGAATATGGCAACAGCTGATGCTTGTTTTGTAAGTACAATGTATAATAACTAGTTATGTCTGATCTAGGTCCCAGCCTTTCCTTCCTCGGGTGATTTCTAGAGTAAATAAAGGAGAGAAAATTATATGTCTGTGTTTTATCCCTGGTATGGGAGTTCCCTGCTTTATGCTTTGATATATATATATATATATATATATATATATATATATATATATATATATATATATATATATATATATATATATATATATATATATATCCAGATCAAAGGTTTTCAAAGCATTATTAACCTTGGGCAACTGACAAATAAATTTATGTAACATATTATCAGTTTTGAACTGACCATCACGAAGGTGATGTCAGTGGCCCAAGGTTAAAAATGCTTTGAAAACCTTTGATCTAGATGTAGGATAGTTATTTAGTGGGTCCCTTATTTTTGACCTGACCTGACTAGTCACGTCACCCCCTTCTCTTAAGCTCCTCTACATGTGTGTTGGTGTGGGGATTAGTGGATGACATCATTATGACCTGACCTCATGTTTAATAAGGTCACCCTGTATATTTAAGCCTCTCTCTGTCCATGTAATCCAGTTGCCTCTGAAGATGTCTTGAATAAAGACGAAAGCTAAGGTGCTCCGTTGTTTCCCTTTTCCCGTGTGATTTTATCAAAGATATATATATATATATATATATATATATATATATATATATATATATATATATATATATATATATATATATATATATATATATATATAACCGGTCGGAATTTACTGGACTTTAATTTCTCACTTGACTTGGGGTTTATTAAAAATTAATAGATGGTAATGGCAGTGGAAGCGCCCCTTTGAGAAAAATCCCGAACCAGCACAAGAACACTTAAATCTACTAAACAAAATGAATTGTCCGTGACCCGTGGAAGGATAGCGTCTGTGACTGGGATGAATGAGACACACTGTAAAATTTAGACACTTATATTCCCTCCAACACTACAAACACAATCAAATAATGGTACACCAATATGCGCACCTCTTAACTTGAACTTAAAACACTACTCTGGGGAATAAAAGTTAAACATGATATAGAAATTATTAGAAACTCAGGCAACAATAAATTTGAAGTATTAAGAAATGTTGCTTGCACACATGAAACAGGCCTTAAGGGCTTTCACAAAATAATATCAGTCACTGAGGAAATGGTATTAAAAATAAGAAATTAAATACTCTACAATGAATAGGCCTTAGGGGCTTTCAACAAAATAATATCAGTCACTGAGGAAATGGTATTAAAAAATAAGAAATTAAATACTCTACAATGAATAGGCCTTAAGGGCACTCACAAAATTATATCACCCCAACAGATGCACACTTCCTAACCTAACTTAACCACTACTCTGGGGAACAAGGTTATACCTGAGATCGGAATTATGAAGAAAAATTAGATGCATTAAAAGAATCAAATCACAGTATCACTCTGGTTCCATTTAGTGACACAAACATTCAAAAAACAATACTATCAAAATTGTTTAAGAAATATTAAACTACACACGTCAAGATAATATCAGTAACTGAGAAATGGTATTAACTACACCCAAATATATTGTCACTATTATTGGTTTGTTACTGGGTCCAACAATACCCGTGAACCATGCTCCACCCAACTCAACATACACCCGTAATAAGGGAGATAAAATGTTCCTCTAGGTATCCCCTAGACTCATGGTCTCAGTGTGCGACCCTGTATCACTCAGCTGGTCCCACTTTACCCCCAGTACATCCATGAAACGGAAGGGAGTGAGCAAATCAGACCTTGTACAGTTGAGAGAAGCTTTAGCTTTCCGTTAGCAAGAGGGTTTCACTAAGCTGCTCGAGACATGTGGTGTTGTGAGCCGAGGTAGAGGAGAGCTGATGACCCCAACGATCGTCCCGTCGTCAGCTGGGCACCCAGACGGCTAGATTCCCTCAAGAGATCCTTTGATACCCCGCTAAACAGTGACAAGCCTACACTGATCGGTCCAATGGCGACAATCGCCACCCTCAATCATCAACGGCAGTCTCAAACGGCAGTCAATCTCTTGCGGTCATCACTCTCGCAGTCAAACTCCCGTCAAGTGGGTTCTGACGGAAACCCTGAAATGAACTCACTGTTAGCTCTTGTTAACTTTACCACTGTCTTATCTAACCCTGTCTGAGATCGAATGAGACTTACTTGTTATACTGCAATCGTGCAACACAGGTGACTAGGCCACGTGACTATTTCTGTGACGGACGAGAAGGGACGTCTTGTTTGTCTGAATGCTTCCCCGTGACTGAGGGAGAGCCAGCGTCGCGTCTCTCCAAGGCGCTAGCTTAGGCCTACGTGACATATTTTCCGCCTAACTAATAACTCCTTGGGACACCCGTAACATTATTCAGACTGATAAACGATCTATAATAATTTCAAATTCGATAATAGTCCCTTAACTTCATGAATCGCATCATTATTAATTCGGCAAATTACATTTAATATCATATAGGCCTAGTTCCACAACCTCCCACTTTGTGAGGGGAGCGCTCTCTTCTCTCAGACGACCTTGAACGCTCAGTATCGCTAATGGCTGGGCATTTGAAATTTCTGAATATTACATATATATATATATATATATATATATATATATATATATATATATATATATATATATATATATATATATATATATATATATATATATATATATCCTTCTCACTACGATAGGCGATAATTTAGAACTTCTTTACACTGGTTTAGACTCTCAAAATACCAATAAATGGCCAGACACTCCTTGTTCCACCCCTCTAGTCTAACCTCTATATTTTCCATAATATAATCTTCATATCTACTCCTGAATCTTCTTTCTTATTGACCCGTTTATTCCTCACTATCAACCCTTTGTCATCATATATATGAAGCAGTACCTCACTATTTCCATTCATTCCTGGTAAACCATATATTGCCTTTATCCTCTTCAACTTCTCCATTACCAACTCACTTCCTGATGTACTGTGTCTCACTATTACCACACTTTTCTCTCTAGTTTTAATCTGGTCCGTGATTATTTAGAACTGAATTCATATAGTACTTCTTTACACAACTCCTCATGAAGAAAAACCCCAGCCTTTTTTTCACACTAACGCTAATATACCCTAACCCAGCGCTAGGGTGTTTCATCATCAGGTGAAATAAACTGGGGTCTCTAACCTTCACGTGATATGAATTAAACTATATTTGATTTTTGCAGTATTCCTATCCAAGTCAACATCTTTACTTGGGAGTCGATATAAAGTCATATCGAAATATAATATAGATCGATTTAGAACTTTCTGCCGTTTTGATCATTATGGAGAGGTCAGAGCTCACTGGGGAGTTGAATGACCTTACGAACATAAGAAAATAAGGAGTCTGCAATAGGCCGGTTGGCCTGTGCATGGCAACTCCTGTCGAGAGTTACTACCACTCTCTATCATCCATGAATCTATCTAGCCTCCTTTTGAAACTTTCCAGAGTTCCCGCACTTACTACAAAGTTGCTAAGCTTGCTCCACTCGTCCACCACCCTATTTGTGAACCAGTTTCTTCCTATCTCCCTCCTAAACCTAAACTTATCCAATTTGAATCCGTTGCTCCGAGTCCTATCCTGCTCGGATATTATAAGAACTTTATCTATATCCCCTTTATTGATTCCTTTCACCCACTTAAATACTTCTATCATATCTCCCCGCACTCTTCGTCTTTCTAGGGAATGCAAGTTAAGTTTCTTTAACCTATCCTGATATGGAAGGTTTCTAAGTCCCGGAATCATTTTTGTCATTCTTCGCTGCACCGACTCTAGTGAATTTATATCCATTCTATAATAGGGGCACCAGAACTGAATCGCATAATCGAGGTGCGGCCTAACTAGCGCAAGATATAGTTGCAATAAGACCTCTGCACTCTTGTTACTTGCACTTCTAGATATAAAACCCAATACTCTGTTTGCCTTATTTCGAACATTAACGCACTGTTTTCTAGGCCGTAGGTCCGGGCTTACAAGTTACCCTAGGTCTCTTTCACAAGTCGACTTCTCTAGGTTGATGTTGTTAAGGCTGTATACATGATAAGTATTTGTTCTTCCAATATTAAGTACGCTGCACTTGCTGGTGTTGAATTTCATTTGCCATTTTTCAGACCACCCCTGCAGTTTATTTAGATCCTCCTGTAATGCATTTGCAACCTGCCCTGAATTAATTTGCCGCCCTATTTTGGTGTCATCCGCAAACTTGCTTATGTCACTGCTGATCCCAGTATCTAAATAGTTTATGTAGATTATGAACAAGAGTGGGCCTAGTACTGACCCCTGGGGAACCCCACTGGTTACACGGCCCCACTCAGATTTAACACCATCTACGCTGACCCTCTGCGTTCTATCGGTGAGCCATGATTTTATCCAATTTAAAACTTTCCCCTCGATACCATGAGCCTTAATTTTTCTCAGAAGCCTCTGATGCGGTACTCTGTCAAATGCTTTGCTAAAGTCTAAGTAAATAACATTGTAATTTTCGTCATTATCTACTACCTCGAAGACTTTCCTAAAAAACGTTGACCTCTTTAACGTAGCTTGGTTTCCTAGTCAGTTATTGAATACAGGCAGAGTTGTAAAAAGAACCGAACTTTGTTACATAAGTAAAAGTAGTGTTACATTGGCAAAATTTTACTCAAGTAGAGGTTAAAGTATCCAAAGTTCAATGTACTCAAGCACAAGTAAAAAAGTATCTCATTCCTCAAGTACTGAAAGTAAAAAAGTAACAAAATTATTGTTTCAAATATTAAAATAAATCAACAGAATATTATAAAAAAAACTAGTTAACTAATGATAAAAATAAAAGACACATAGCATTACAGATGTTTATTTGCAAATCTTCTATTGAGATTAATCAATAACTGATTCTCGAAAAAATGGCTACCCAATCAGGATCTCTTAGGCCTAAATATAAGCCCAGCATACGTTCAGAGGCTCTTCTCCCTACAATCTATCGCAGGGATAGTGAACGGGCTGAAAATATATCCATCTAACACTATGATCACTGTCTTCCTTATCCACACAAGTGGATAAGGAAGACATAATGTGCAGACATAATGTGCAGGAAGATGGGGATTATTAGTTCCTCACTTCCCCAGCATATCTATATTTCTATCAATCTATATATATTTCTTTATATCTGTCTACCTATTTATATAATATTAATGTTATTTATCTATATCTATCTATCTATGACGACACTAAATTTATCCATATCTGTCTAGCTATCGATCAATCTATAGCCATATAAATTTATTTAGCTGTGTGTGAGTGTAGGAAAATAAAACATAATTAATAAATATATCTAAACATCAATTATCGCTCAAAATATACATGTTATTAATGTCATCACAGGAAACTCTTTATGTGAAGCAAATAACTTGTACTTCATAAAACATCAATTTTATTAGCATGAACTAACACAACAACACTCTAGAAACAAGTGAACGTAGTGAGAGATCAATAAACAAATGTATGAGTAAATTTTGATAACACAGAAGCCAGTAATAATCAGCGTCTTGTGGGGGAGGATTTACGTACTAATAGAACTGAGTGACTCCCTGAAGGATACCCCCTATACTTATTTTATCTTAAGAGTAATTACCTTAACGCAAACCTAACCTACCCTAATGTAACTTAACCTTTCTTAACCTAAACCATCAGGTAGTGATTCTTGTATGTTTCCGGGGCAATTCAGGGGTTCAGAGTGTGCATGACTGATATTTGGGGCTGTAAACACACACACATTGATCGTATTTAAACACACACACACACACACACACACACAGAGGCAGGTGCGAAATAATAAAATTTGCCAACTTTTAACACATGAACTGGGCCACTTCACGAACACACTATATGTTATGTCATTATCACTTCCCTCACACTGACCGTCTGTTATTATTCACCGAGGTACTAAACTACCCTGAGCCTGGTGGACCAAACCATACGCATATGCCTTTGGTCAGTCCAGCTTTACCAACCCCCAGAGACATTTTAGATGAAAACTACGGTCTTTGAGCATACCACACACGAAACAGTGCCGTGCTTGTGTAATGTTTTGCCCCAAAACTGTTACGTATGGCCCATGATTTGACAGATAAACACAAATTATCCTTCTTTAAGAGATCTTTAAGTTATTGAACAAGCCTTAAATCTTAAGAGTACTAGTTTTGATTTTAACACAATGCAGGTGAATTCGCATTGTCACTTGTAATACAACATGTAAAGTTCAGTTCACTGCGGCACTGCTACTTATTTCAAATCTGAACATTAGGATTGCGTCATACATCTAATGCGAAAAACAATTTTGTTCCCGGAGTGAGAGTGAACGTTGAGCATATCATGTTCCTGCGCTTATATACCAGAACTGGCGAACTTGGAAGGCATTGAACACATATTGTTTCCTCGCACCACAGCCAGACATCATAACTCACTGTGAGTCGACGCACTTAATAGCCAACTGAGCCCGGAGGACCTGACCCTTGGTTCTCACGCTGGGGTGGTCTTGGAGATGTCTGTGTATGATGGAGGTTCTTTGTCTAGGTTTTCCTCTGTACTTAGCGTTACCTTGGCGTCTTCATCTTGGCAAGGGAGAATGTCGGTCACGGAGACATAGGCTTCGTCGGCAGTGGTGCAGAGGTGGTCATATGGAGGAGGTGTGGCCATCACTGCATCATAATTGGGTGGAGCATCGGTAGTGTTCCTGTCACACACACTGCCGCCATACTCAGGGTCTTTATTCTGTTGAAATGTGCATAAATTACTCTACATTTTTTTCAGGGATGTGATGCAAACAAAATTATTTAAAGAAATCCAGGACATTTCACTTAAATGAATCAGAAACAACAACACACGTACAGGGATTTCTGAATGTGATGACAAATTACACACACACACACATATCAATCCTATTATAGTACTGCGTTGAAGCAGAGGATCTTCAAATGTATTCAAGGCTAACTGAGACACAGATTTTCTAGAAAAGCATTATACGAGATACAGTAATGTTAAAAGTGATAATTTAGTAAGGGTGTCTAAGGGAAAATATCATTAAGTGCCGGACAAAAGAATGAATCTTGGATCTTCAGCAAGGTTATGGATCAAGGACATTGGGTGAGGGAGAGGAAGCGGGCTTCCCTTTCTAACTAGGCCACTACGACCGTGAGGTAAACAACAGCAGAATCCCTACACTGTGGCAACCGTGGAGACCTCCGTGGTGGCAACACAAGCATTCACAGGTACTAATTTTAATCCATTCTTTATTTGGCAACGAACCAAAGATGATATTCTCTGTATACTAAAACCTCGCTGAGATATTTCGTACATAAAGCCAAGTAAGTAACAACATAATTATTTTACAAGATTATTTATATATATATATATATATATATATATATATATATATATATATATATATATATATATATATATATATATATATATATATATATATATATATATATATATATATATACTGTATATAAGAACATAAGAAAATAAGGAGTCAGCAATAGGCCGGTTGGCCTGTGCATGGCAGCTCCTGTCGGGTTACTACCACTCTCTATCGTCCATGAATCTATCCAGCCTCCTTTTGAAACTTCCCAGCGTTCCAACACTTACTACAAAGTTGCTAAGCTTGTTCCACTCGTCCACCACCATATTTGTAAACCAGTTCCTTCCTATCTCCCTCCTAAGCCTAAACTTATCCAATTTAAATCCGTTGCTCCGAGTCCCATCCTGCTCGGATATTATAAGAACTTTATCTATATCCCCTTTATTGATTCATTTCACCCACTTAAATACTTCTATCATATCTCCCCGCACTCTTCGTCTTTCTAGGGAATGCAAGTTTAGTTTCTTTAACCTATCTTGATATGGAAGGTTTCTAAGTCCCGGAATCATTTTCGTCATTCTTTGCTGCACCGACTCATGTGAATTGATATCCATTCTATAATAAGGGCACCAGAACTGAACCGCATAATCGAGGTGCGGCTTGACTAGCGCAAGGTATAGTTGCAATAAGACCTCTGCACTCTTATTACTTACACTTCTAGATATAAAACCTAATACTCTGTTTGCCTTATTTCGAACATTAACGCACTGTTTTCTAGGCCGTAGGTCCGGGCTTACAAGTACCCCTAAGTCTCTTTCACAGGTCGACTTCTCTAGGGTGGTGTTGCTAAGGCTGTATACATTGACAGTATTTGTTCTTCCAATATTAAGTACGCTGCACTTGCTGGTATTGAATTTCATTTGCCATTTTTCAGACCACCCCTGCAGTGTATTTAGATCCTCCTGAAGTGCATTTGCCGCCCTATTTTGGTGTCATCCGCAAACTCGCTATGTCACTGCTGATCCCAGTATCTAGATCGTTTACGTAGATTATGAACAAGAGTGGGCCTAGTACTGACATATATATGCATATATATATATATATATATATATATATATATATATATATATATATATATATATATATATATATATATATATATATTAGATGCACTTGTAGCTGTACTTAAATGGTTAAACGAAAGGTATACAGTGACCCTGACTGGCTGATTAATCTGGTCTTTGGTAGAAACAAAAGGTGTTCTGGCTGCCATAAAAAAAGATAAGAATAACGATTTATCGTCTTCTTGTATATGTCAGACCTACAGGTATTCTGTTCCTTTAGCTTTAACAGGAATTATCTATTCATAGAATCTATATCAATGAGTGCATAATCAGAATTCTACTTATGCTGTTTGAAATAAGATTTAGATGTAGACGAGTAAATTATATTCATGCCAGTATTTGTTGTCTACCTCCATGACAAGAGAGAACCAATCAACTGTACATTCCCTTCTTACTTGAAATCTTTATAAGACGAAAATGTTCCTGGGCTAAGGGGATGCTACGAGTCACGAACGTTCTTACAAATTATATTTTTTTTGTGAGTATAATATTTACCACATTGAGGACATAATACACATGTAATCTATTTGGTAATGAAAATGGATAAGGTACTAAAAGCCTGACGTCCAACGTAAGGAACTATTGTGGTAACTAACCTTGGGCCTCTAGTAGGTTTCCGTGTCTTGCGCTTGACGTAGGTATTTATAAGAGAAAATCATCGGCCATGGGGTAACTAATATAAACTAAATAATTGTATATTTTCAGGTGGAGTAATGTTACGAATTGGTTTACACTATCTTAGGTTTTAAGTGTCATTGTTGTAAGGGTTTGACTCATTAATAGAAGATAGTTAACTAACACCTCACTTATTGTGTCTGCTGTACACGAGAAAATTAGTGAGAAAAGGTCATCTTTGATGATTTAGGCAAAACATTCTACTGTCTCTGAAAACACATATCAGTATATATTATAACATAATTTGTTCTTATTTTTCAAAGATAAAAAAAAATAGTTAACGAAATATACAATAACTTCCTCATTATACTAGAGTTAATCCAAATGTCCTAAGTTTTTCCTGACATTGAGTTGCCGGCTAGTAGAGATTTTAAGGCTTGCTGCCAAGTTGCACTTTGTTCCTTTGTGAAAGGCGAATAAATGATCATTTTTTTGGAAAATAGTAAGATAGTAATAAAATATAAACTAAGGCATAAACGGCACTATTTCGACACCTAAAATATTTAGGTTATTAATGTCTTGTGTCAGAACGTTACCATATGAACTATTATCGTCTATATAATGTTATCGCATTTGTAAAATCATAAAATATAATGGGATACCATTATTAACTTCCGGTCTTTGAAGAACTGAGTTTTTCCAAGTCTTAAAATTAAGAAAAAGTTAAGTGCTTATCAACACAAATGACACTGCCACCAACTTACGCTGTCTTGGTGTTGAACACACTGCTTTTTATAGTGTCTGCACCGCTCACATGCCTTTGTGGACAGTCACATGCTCCACAGTTCATCTAATGAACACTGTTGCTACATATTACTCCAGGAGGAGTCTCAAAGATTCGTACGTTTTTATGTATTTTTCTGTGTTACCTACTGTACATCTAGTGTCGGTGGTCAGATTGAAAATTCGCTGTTGTTTCGGCTATGATCATTTCATATATCCTAAATCAGATAAATATATATAATCTTTGATCCTCATTTATTGGGAAGAATAACTTAAGGAAACCTTGAGATTTCTGGCTCAAGATGATACAAAAAAAAGGTCTATTCTTACCTGTGGTTGGCCTTCTGGACGACTCGCCAACAGTCGGTAATGAGCCATGAGCAGGGCCACACACGCACACAACACAGCAAAGGCTACGAGCAACGAGAAGCCTGGAAATGCACACGATGGGTTGTGGAAGAGAACCGCCACAATCACCAAAGAAGGCACAGTCCCAAGAATGGACAAAAACAGTGACTCGCAGATTACACGCATCTTTGCTAGCTGCCCTGGGTCTGCGTTCCCCCGTCCTCACGTTACGAGAGAGCTCACACAAGTGGTGCTTTGGTGCGAGTGCTACCAGTTATATAAACCTGTGTGCCCTGCCGTGAGGCTGCCTAGACTGATGGAAGTAGCTGCGGTGAGACCCCGGGATCTCTCTAGGAAAATAACGCGATTTCCTGTTGGCTGACGGGGAAAGACGAGACGATACGTACGTTCACACCTGCCTGGTATATCCACCACCTACCCTACTTTTTTTTAGTAAATCATAGAACGAATTATCTAGAATATTACGTGATTTATCTCAAAAGTAATTACAGATCAAAGAATTGATTTATTCGATCTCAATTATACGTTCAAAGTTTAGCATCTACACACACACACACACACACACACACATATATATATATATATATATATATATATATATATATATATATATATATATATATATATATATATATATATATATATATATATATATATATATATATGCTGATAACCACAAGGAAAAAGAAAACACGAAATTCCCAAGCGCTTTCGTGTAATTCACATCTTCAGGGGTGAGTACAGACTAAGAAGTACAAAACATATATATATATATATATATATATATATATATATATATATATATATATATATATATATATATATATATATATATATATATATATATATATATATATACAGAGGAGGGTGAGCTGACCCAATCTTCTCACTTGGTTACAAATCTTCTTAATTGGGTCAGCTTACCCTCTGACCTGACTACCGATTGCTGCTGGGCTTTTTGAAGATTAGTAGGGTCATTACCTAATACCTGACCATTGTGGACTTGATCTCACCCTCCTCTATATATATATATATATATATATATATATATATATATATATATATATATATATATATATATATATATATATATATATATATATATATATATATATATATATATACCTTGTTTTGTACTTCTCCTTAGTCTGTACTCACCCCTGAAGATGTGAATTACACGAAAGCGCTTGGGAACTTCGTGTTTTCTTTCCTTGTGGTTATCAGCATATATATATATATATATATATATATATATATATATTTATACAGACTCAATGTAGTATATCAAGTATTAAGAGAAAATGTTTTAGACGACTTGACGTCACAACAATGACCTTCCGATCTGTAAAAAGTAGAGAAACAAGGAAAAGATTATCAGGTCAGGCAGGTGAGGGAGTGAAAGGGTTGGATCTGCCTCCTTATATGACGTGAAGGAAGAATGAGTTTAATATCTAATTTGGTCGGTAACTAACTAGCTGGATGAAAGAATTCCCATTAAACAAACTTATTGTAGCATAATATCATCTAGCTAGCTTAATATTACCACAATCTAGACTAAATCAACAATAATTAATCAAGCCCAACATAACCATAACGTAGCCTAACCATAACATGGTCAAACAATACCATAACTTAATTCTACCGCAGCCCAACTTATAAACAGATAACCATAAACTAGCCTAGCATAACCACAACCTAACCCAACCCTAAGATGAATTTCGCGTTGCACTCCAAACTTAGAAACTTAGCAAATCACGATTTGGGGGCGAACATTAAAACAATTTTGATATTGAAACAGTTTGTTTAGCCAGAAAAATACAGATCCAGAGTGGACAATAAGAATAATATTGACATGGCTGAGTGAAGTGAGAACTTGAACTTTTCTTTGTGGCACGTGATAGATACTGTTCATTTATATTAAGGAATTATTATATAATATTATTTAGTACCATCTGGACTACTACAAGTAACATGGTGTTAGTATATATATATTAGAATGTTGCCACGATTCAAATTTGTTTTATTTATAATTATTTTTTACATTTATATTATAAGTATGTACTCATTTTCACAGTAAAGTTGATATACCGTAATCTGATAAGAGGGTGGAAGCGATACAGCATGGGTAATGTTGGGGTGAAGCTAAGGGACAGCAGACACAGTCTTGAAGGCAAAATATATAACTATTACAATGTAAGATATAATGGTTTCCAATGTTATAATAAAAGTAAAAGTATACAAGCAATTGTTCCAAAAATATCAATAACTGGACAATAGATGAACTTTAATAGATGATTTAAATGAAATCTGCTCGGATGGGTGGGGGTAACTTGTTCCACACCACGCCCTGATATTTTATAAAGGTCTGGGACAACACAAGAACACAAGAATGGAGGGAACTGCAGCGGGCCTATTGGCCCATACTGGGCAGTCCCGTTTACACCCAACCCCTATTGCTCATATAAGCATCCAACCTATGTTTGAAGCTATTCAGCGTATTCGAGTTAATGATGATATTTGGTAACTTGTTCCATTCATCCACTACTCTGTTTCCAAACCAGTGTTTACCTATTTCCCGCCTAAATCTAAATTTGTCTAATTTAAAACCATTGTTACGAGTTCGCTCCTGGTTGGATAGTTTGAGTACCTTTGTAATGTCCCCTTTGTTTAGCCCTGCCTTCCACTTATACACCTCTATCAGGTCGCCCCTCGCTCTACGTCTCTCGAGGGAGTGCAAATTAAGATGCTTTAACCTGTCTCTATACTCAAGGTTCCTAGTGCCCAGGATTAGTCTTGTCATTCTCCTCTGAATTCTTTCCAAGGATTCTATATCCATTCTGTAATAAGGTGACCAGAACTGAATTGCGTAATCCAGGTGTGGTCTCACAAGAGCAAGATACAGTTTTAGGATGACCTCGCTAGTCTTGTAACTAACACTCCTTTGTATGAACCCAAGTACTTTGTTAGCCTTGTTACGAGCAAAAACACATTGTTTACTTGGCTTAAGGCTCCTACTTATCATTACCCCTAAATCTCTCTCGCAGTCGGATTTCTCTATGGCATCGTTGTTCATCTGGTATCTGGTTTCCCTGTTTACATCTCCTATACTGAGTACTTTACATTTGTCCACGTTGAATTTCATCTGCCATTTTTCAGACCATTCGAAAAATTTGTTTAGATCTTCCTGTAGTTTTGCTGAGTCCTCGTCAGATTTAATAACACGTCCTATTTTCGTGTCATCAGCAAATTTACTTATGTTGCTGTCTATGCCGATATCTATGTCGTTTATGTATATAATAAATAATAATGGTCCAAGTACTGAGCCTTGGGGAACTCCACTTGTGACGTTGCTCCAATGGGACTTAGTGCCGTTAATGCTCACTCGCTGTTTCCTGTCCTGTAACTACGCCCTAATCCATTTAAGGATGTTACCTTTGATGCCATGAGCTTCTACCTTTCTAATTAGTCTTTCATGGGGGACTCTGTCGAAGGCTTTGCTAAAGTCGAGATATACCACATCATAATTGTGCCCCTCGTCCACCGATTCGAAAACTGATGAAAAGAATGTTAATAGATTAGTTAGACAAGAACGTCCGCTTGTGAAGCCATGCTGGGAATCATTGATCAATCGGTGCTTCTCCAGGTGATTTCGAATAGAGTTTGAAATGATTGCTTCCAGTAATTTGCCTACTATTGATGTTAGACTGATTGGGCGGTAGTTAGAGGATAGTGATCTATCCCCTTCTTGAAAATCGGTATTACATTCGCTATCCTCCAGGATTCTGGTACTACACCTGTTTTTAAGGACATGTTAAACAACTTTGCTAAGGGCATACTAAGCTCTTCCTTACATTCCTTTAATACTCTGGCAAATATCTCATCGGGACCAGGTGACTTATTAGGCTTTAGTTTGTCTATTTGCTTACTAGCATCGTTACTAGTCACTACTATCTCGCTTAATTTGTTTTCTTCGCTATCTCTGAATAGAGTCGGCGCCTCGGGTATCATGTTTAAATTTTCGGTGGTGAAAACTGTTGAAAAATATTCATTCAAATTATTGCTCATTTCTCTGTCGTTATCAGTGAGCTCGCCGGTGTCTGACCGTATTGGTCCAATCTTTTCTCGTGTTTTAGTTTGATACATTTGGTAGAATCCTTTGGGGTTTGTCTTCGCCTCCCTTGCTATCCTTACCTCATTATTCCTCTTGGCTTTCCTTATCTCGGTTTTAACCCTACTCGCCAATACCCTATAATAGTCCCGGAGGTGAATTTCACCACGATTTATCCTTCTACCTATAGCCTTCCTTTGGCCAATGATGTTCTTTAAATAATTATTTATCCATTTAGGGTCACTGTTGTCTGATCTGAGTTTTTTGTATGGTATGTTCTGCCTTTGTGCATTAAGTAACTCGCTATTTAAATTGTTGTGGAACTCGGCAATCTCAGATCTCGTTATCAGGTCGGTGTCATCTGTCAGGTTCACGGTCAAGCGCGACACCTCCTCTCTCAGCTGCCTCATTAAACTGTCAAAGTTCGCCCTTCTGAAATCTGGTACTTTAGTGGAATTTTCCTTACGTTTGCCCTGAAAATCTAACTGGAATTTAATTTCTTTGTGATCGCTGTTTGCAAGTTCGTACCCTACCTCGACACTGCTAATGAGGTTTTCTCTGTTTGACAGAACTAAATCGAGTATATTTTTACCCCGTGTGGGTTCGGTTATATGTTGAATTAGAAAACAGTCCTGGATCGTCTCGAGAAAATCCTCTGATTCTGAGTTCCCCATAAGGTCAGTCCAATCTATTTGGCCAAGGTTAAAGTCGCCTACTATACAGACTTTGTTGTGTATGGAAGCCCTGCGCATTTCATCCCAGATAAGTCGCTCATTGACTCTATCAAGATTGGGAGGTCTATATATTACTCCTGTGATTAATTTTTCCCTACCGTCGATTAATTCTATCCAAATTGTTTCTGTATTCCGCTCAGTTTTTATTTCATTATTTATTTCACACTTCAGATTATCCCTAACATAGATTGCTACTCCGCCTCCTTTCCTGGTCTGCCTATCGGTATGGAACAGTTTGTAACCCGCAATTTGGTATTCGACTGGTAACTCACGTGTGTCTAGGGACTGAGAGGAGCACATGGGACTTAGTTGATTAATTGATTTATAAAAAAATAAAGCACAGCATTAAGTGCCAAGATCCTGAAGTCTTAACATTTTCAATTTAGAAAACTGTTCGTTCGTGTGATAATTTTTTTTTCAGTAGGTCATTGTCTGCACAA